TGAATCGCAAGACGGTCAGTTGTAGAATGGTAATCGGTTTGACAGGTAATGCGCTGTTTATACCCAGCGATACCCATACTCGTTGCTTAGCAAGGACAGACTAAAATGTCGGCACTTCCTTAGAAAGATAGAGGGAAGAGATGGGGAAGATATCAAAACTAGATTGTTTTTAAAATCCTTATTTCTAATCTCATTTGAAAGCTTTTTAACATACCTGTCAGTTTTAGGGACGTATTAACAACATGCACAAGTTCATGCCGACGGTTCGACAAACAAGGGATATAACACCGCAACTCTTTATAATTGTCTTTGATAACATACTCACACATAGGCATTATTATAAACATGTACATACACCCATTCACCCCTACTGCTATAAAACAACTGTAACTGTAAATTTTGAATTATGCATGTACTTATCTGTTTATAAGGGCAAGGTTCATTAAAAACCTCCCCATTTTATATACAATACAATATCAGATAATAACGTCACAGTAAGGTATATTTAGATGATTCGGTGCATCTGTATCGTAATATTGTATTGTAATAATAATACTTTCAGAACTATTTTGAAAAAGTTTCGTAGCCACATTGAAACATTTGTATTAAATACGTAAAGGAAATATCTATAACTATGAAATAAATATGAAATGTCAAATATATCCTATCACGTCAGTGTAGTTTCTACAACCACAGTATACATCATATAAAACATACAACTAAATCGGGCTATATAATGTTTACTTATTGTTCAACAGATTGTTTACAATTAAAGCATATTGTCAGCCATCATCTGTTTTTTTAAAGTAAACAGCCTTTCATGTTCTTAAATTCATCATTAACATAGATATACACTCTTATCGCAACAAAAGCATGTTTAACTAAAGTGACGAAAGTTAGATCTTATATGATAATTGTCAAATATTTTCTCCCTAATGTGGTTGTTATGGCTGTTGTTTGTAACGAGATATCTACAAAAATCCAACTGTTTCGGATGCAGAACTACTTTTGCAATGAAAACTTTCTTCATGAGTCCTTTAGGTTATTCTTAATTTTGTAGAACATTCAAATTATATACGGACATTAAATCCTTTCAGGTAGCCAATTAAAAAAAAATTATAATGAAGATGTTTATTCCTTATATTTTCCCATTCAGTTCACACGCTCAGATGTCTCAATATTTACGCAGGTCCAAATATAGAAAGATCCGGTTTACAGCTGATTTACACGTGACCATACAGGTTAAACCTGCAGGATGGTCTCATTTCAAGTATACATGTAATGATTTGTGGGTTGATATCAGACTAATATTGCGACCCAGGCCTATATAAAGCATGCCAAATCGAAAGTTCTAAATCGAGACGAAGGGGACCAAAGACTCCCGCACATCTATGACCAAGTATTAAACAAAGAGTAGCTGAATCGAGTCATTTCGGTACATATATAACAACTTTTGTACATACGCTTACAGCGTAGCCGAATCGACATAGATTTTTGTGGACAACTCGTACACATTTTACACCTTTGTATGCATACGCTTCACTGGTCATTTTTCTGATGAAGGTGACAGTGTACAAAAAGTACTAGTCATCGAAACGTCATATACACATGGTCGTGTAAAAAGAACTTTTCATAATCCATACTTACCAACCAGAAGAAAATGTTTAGAACTATTCAGATGAGTTGTTTTCAGATTATTGACTATGATTAGTATTCGAATTGACCGACCTGATCTAGAAACCTAACGCAAGGCCTTTTTTTGACATTTTTGATGATGTTTCATCAACTATTTCTTTGCACATTTACATAAATTTATGCAAAAATTACCCACATATTATTTCTACTGACATGTGTCTGTGGATGCCACATATTCCCACATAGGGCTGTATAAACTCCATAGTACCACTTTTTTGAAGACAAGATTAGATCTAAAAATATAACAAAGCATTTTGGTATAGTACATCGACAATTACAAACATTGATAACTTATTCCTGCTAAAATTTCTTCATTTAATATGTCAAGCATAGTTAAATACTATGAATGGTGATGAATTGTGCACAACAATTTTGAAGATTTGGCTGTGTTAAGATCATAATGGAGTTATTTTTATTGATTTTCCGTTTATATTTTGACATAGCATGTTCATTTTATATTCGCTTTATGGTATAACGATATTCTGTTTAATGGGTTGGGTTGTCAACCTACATTACCAAATCCGATTTTAAAATCTTTGGGAAGAACAGGGAACGATTTTCCGTACCAAAATCAAAGCACGATGTCCGTTGACAGCCGTTCAACTTAGCAATGTTATTGACAAAATAACCCGCTTTTACCTTTGGGTCGCTATTTGTGTAAAATGTACCGCGAAAAACCCGTTAATGCATTCATTTATACCAATTCCATATGGAGTCAATTTATCATAAGAGCTCACGTGTTAAAACATCACTGGGACCGGTAAAATGATATCATAAGAGCCCACGTGTTAAAACATCACTGGGACCGGTAAAATGATATCTTTTCCTGATACTGAGACGCTGTCTTCTCCTTTACTGCACCATGTGATCCGTCGATTCAGGGGCCACGGTGACCGGGTTGTTAAGGCGTCTGACCGTCTCCACCACTTAGTAGCGAGTTCGATACCTACATATGGCAGTTAATAGGACGTAAAACACAAACAAACCAAAACCGTCAAGGCATCCATTAATGCCAATTCCAAATGGAGTCATTTTATCATAAGGGTCCAAGTGTCAAACATCATTGGGACCGGTAGAACGATACCTTCTCCTCCCAAGTCTTCTCCTTAGGTACACGCCCGACGAGTCGTGAGTACATACTTGAGATGCACCATACGATACCCGTGTTGACGGCCAGACATATCCAGTTGACAACCTATCAAACTGGCAACACGTATAATGTCTGAACGGTTCCTTGATAAACCTTCATTGTTAAGCACTCCTCGCAAATTTCTTTCAGATATCCTAAATCTGTGTACTTTTGCAAGAAACGAGGATATTTCCTTTTGAGTGAACGCCAATTGGTGAACATGCAAAGCATATAAGGGCGTTTCTTTCCTCTATCCTACATTGAACTTGATTTGATATAGAAACGAAATGACACTGTTTAACGATGCAACTTAACCCAGATACTTTGTCTTTATACAAAGAGTCGTTATAACGAAAAATTAACTCATTTTAGCAAGAAATCAAGTGGTTATAACGAGACACTATGCTGTGATACGAGATAAAAACGTAACGAGATAATTATTCCGTTCTAATTATAGATACTTCCTCGGTATAACTAGATACTTACTCAGTATAACGAGATACTTCCTCGGTATAACGAGATACTTACTCGGTATAACTAGATAGAAGGTCGTTATAACGAGATAACTAACTCATTTTAACAAGAAATCAAGTGGTTATAACGAGATACTATGCTGTGATACGAGATAAAAACGTACCGAGATAATTATTACGTTCTAATTACAGATACTTCCTCGGTATAACTAGATACGTCCTCGGTAAAACGAGATACTTCCTCGGTATAACTAGATACTTCCTCGGTATAACTAGATAGAAGGTCGTTATAACGAGATAACTAACCCGTTATAACGAGATAAAAACATATATTTGGATGTCCTCAATTAGCCTCCGTAGAAAAGAGCTACTTCTTGATATTTTTTGGTTTTACCAAAAAATTAATTGTTTTAACTGTGTAAAAAATATTATGGTTTGACAAATTGCTTTAATGTTGGGTTAAATTATCAAGCGACTTTTCTACTGAACTATATTCCCTGTTTTACAACATCAAAATTAACCTTTATGCCTTACTGTTTCCTAATCTTAGTACATTACAGACTAACCACTGATCTCGTTTCTCTACTCTTTGGCCCATAACAACGAACCCGGCAGTTCTCTTCTCACTGCTTGACATGCGCTATAGAAAGCTTCGATCAGTAGCTGTTTTGTACCTTGTGGTCAACTGCCCATGTCTAAGATTACATGTGTATGTAGTGTGACCTCGGGCTATTACAGTAATATATATAAACTGTCGTATGACAAACTTACACGTTAATGTACTGCCAAAGGATACAACCAATAAAAGTGTGTACTGTATATATATTGAACACTATTTCACATTTTCGACATTTTCTTTCCTTACACATTAAATTGTATCCCTTAGTTGAGATTGGCATTATAAAGCAAATCCATAAGTGTCTTCATATATCCGGTAACAACCGATCCCCTGTGTGATGACGATGACAAACTTGGTAATTTCGTATCTAGAATGGCGCTTTCAATAATTTTGTGGTACCTACACATCTTATAATAAATTTATATTGTCATAATTTGTCAAGTTGCTTTATTTTTTCGCGATTACCTATATTGCTAAATGCTAACGAACCCAGAATGTTTTCCGGCTATTGATACCGAAAGTTTCGGGCGGCCATGTTTGTTTACCTTGTACCTGCTGTATTTCTACACTGGCCATATCACTGTAAATTGTAGTATACAGTCTCATATACTGCAATTTGGTTTACTAACGACATATAGGCAAATGCAACACAGAATGTAGCGTTTCCGTAGCTCTTCCGTATCGTTTCCGTAGCACTTGCGTCTACATCTTTCCATTTAAAAAGCGTCTGTGAAACGTTCGGTCGAAAATTTACGGAATATATATTTGTCGAAACGATTTGTTAATGTACTGCCAAAGGATACAACCAATAAAAGTGTGTACTGTACATATATTGAACACTATTTCACATTTTCGACATTTTCTTTCCTTACACATTAAATTTTATCCCTTAGTTGAGATTGGCATTATAAAGCAAATCCATAAGTGTCTTCATATATCCGGTAACAATATATGTCAATGTAGGCAAACTGTGCCATCCATCACTATGTTTTTACCCTAGGGTAGAAGGAATGACCTTTTGACCTTACCATAAGCTAAGGCTACCCCAGTATTACACGTAGGGTTTATAACTGACAGACACATATGCACTTATCAACCCTCAAATGTACAGCAGTTGTTACAGGTACGCTGATGAGACTAAGACAGTGCGGAAATCTATTTCACTGAACACTATTTTTGTGTTTTGTCCATAACGACTAGGGAATGTTTATAGCATTGAATTATGTGGCCAGGTGTCATCTTTCTTGTATTGCTGGGGACCACTTCCGGTATCAGTGGATACGGAACAGGTGCCCCGAAAGTCGACTCCGTTTGTTTTAATCGTCTACCAAGGCATGGTGTGACGTCACAAACAGCAGACATTCCTTACGTCATAAGAACAATTGTGACAAAGGCCGGAGGGAATTATGACATCACTGGTGAGTCAACTTTAAACTTTAACTGATAATAAGGTGATAATTCAACTTTAGCATTGGAAACAAATCCATCTATGAATTATTTTCGTGTGCACGACTGGAGTTATCATCTCAAATCTAAGCCAAACTGAAATTCATTTCTCGTTTTTAATTTCAAATTAATTATAAATATTTACCCCTTCAGTACCAATGTTCAAATCTCGTCCATTTATGATAACCAGAATATTTAATGTCAGTAGCCCCCGTTTGGATGTTCGATAGGTACACAATCTCGAACAGCTTATAGTTAAGGAAGACTTCCGCCGCAACTGGATAGTACAGGTAACTTCATTGGTGAAAAGGCAATTGAACCACGTCTTCGATAAGTTTGGTAAATTCAACATAAAATCTATCTCAGTGTGGGATTAGGCCGCCGTGATAGGCTGTTATCTATCTCAGTGTGGGATTAGGCCGCCGTGATAGGCTGTTATCTATCTCAGTGTGGGATTAGGCCGCCGTGATAGGCTGTTATCTATCTCAGTGTGGGATTAGGCCGCCGTGATAGGCTGTTATCTATCTCAGTGTGGGATTAGGCCGCCGTGATAGGCTGTTATCTATCTCAGTGTGGGATTAGGCCGCCGTGATAGGCTGTTATCTATCTCAGTGTGGGATTAGGCCGCCGTGATAGGCTGTTATCTATCTCAGTGTGGGATTAGGCCGCCGTGATAGGCTGTTATCTATCTCAGTGTGGGATTAGGCCGCCGTGATAGGCTGCTATCTATCTCAGTGTGGGATTAGGCCGCCGTGATAGGCTG